GCTGATGGGCACTCCCAATCTGCAGCATCAGCCCTTCCAGCAGCACGAGCTGATCTCATGGCAAGCGAGTCGGATGGTGAGCGCGCGCGAGCAGATGGAGATCGCCGCGGGGGCCAGTATCGTGGCGGCGAGCTCGGGCAGCCACGGCGCCGAAGGTGAACTGGTGCAGCAGCTGCGACGGCGGCGCCCTGAACCGCCACCCCGACCACCTTCTACGTGGCATATAGGGCGCGGGCCCAGAGTGCGAGGTTGGCTGGTCTGAGTCCGTCTTGCATCAGCGCGCCTGCCGACGTCTGGCGCGCAGCAGCCCCGGGGCGCCTCCAGCGCGGCCTGGTGCCAGCGGGCCCCGGCAGAATCGGCACGCCAGAGCTACTCGTCGCTCGAGGGGCCCCTGGCGTTGGCCGCGCGTGGAGGGTGGTTGGCAGGGCCAGTCCCGATCTTTTTCGCAGTCAGCCCATGCGGTCGCGCTCGAGCTTGTCTCGTGCATGTAGGGGAAGACCCGATGGAGTAGCTCGTGTACTCCATGACTCTATCTCCTAGGGGTGGTGCGGTTGCGCAGACCGTCTGGGCCGTTTGCCGCGAGGTGGTGCATTCGCGTCCGCTCCACTTGTCGCGCGCGCAGCGCTGCTGCAGCTTCCCGTGCGCTGCCTGGCTCTGTCTTCAGGTGGAGGTGAAACGCTGGGTATGTCTGCGCGCTCCATGCTTCTGCTTCCAGGGATTGTAAGGGTGCGCGGGCCGTCGATGGTCTGCCGTCGAGCCCGGGGGCGGCGCGCGCTTCGCGGCCCAGCAGCGCAGCTCGCCAGGCGCACTACTAGGCGACTGGCCCGCGCAGCTCTCTCAGCGCCACCCGCGGCCTCGTCCTCGGGCCTCGGCGCGCGCCGCGCCCGCTCGCCGCCGTCTGCTCTCAAGGCGACCTGTCCGACGTCGGCCTGCTGCGACCGCGGAGGAGGACCCGTTGGAGTAGCTCGCGCACTCCGCGGCTCTGTCTCCGCACCAGCTGCAGCCCCTCAGCCGCCGCTTCTGAGTGATGGCCCAGCCGTCTTGCGCGTCGCTCAGTAGCTAATTAGGCTGGCCCGTGCCCGGGTCCCCCCTCTCGGCGACAGCTTCACGCGTCTGCCCGCGACCAAAAAAAAAGGCTCTGTCTCCGCAGGGGGGAATTCCTCGGTTCACCCGCTGGGGTGCCAGGGGTGCACGGACTGTCTTGGGCCCTGGGCCGGGGGGTGGCGCTCTCGGCCGCTTTGCACCGGAGCGTAGCCTCTCGGGGCGCCGCGCGCCCCGCCGAAGGGCCTGCCGCTCTCTCTCCCTGCCGCTGCCGCCTCGGGCGACCCAGCCGGTGCGTGGGGGCGGGCCCGATGGAGTAGGTCCGCGCGCCCCATGGTTGCTCCCCTAGGGGGGACAGGGATGCGCGGCCCGTCTCTGCGTCCAGGATCCCATTGGGCGGCGCCCGCTTGGTCGCCCTTGGAAGCGTCCGCCGCGCAGGTGCAAGGCGCGCGCGCGGGGCGGGCGGCATCGGGTTCGAGCCGAGGCCCGGGCCCTAGCATGCAGGGGCGGTAGGCCTCCGCCGTCATGCACGCGCCGATGGCCTGCCGTGAGTTGACTCCTCGCTTGTGCCTGAGGCGCGGTTGGCCGCTGCGTGCGAGGCGCCCAGGGAAGCGGTTGGGCATGGCCAGTTGTCCAGGAGACTCTTGATTTTTTAACCTCCGATCGCCATCGCCATCATTATCATCATCATCTGGATTTTTCATCCTCGCAGCCACCAGCACCTCCATGGCCATTCCGGCTCAGGTATCTGCTGAGCCACGGCCTTTTCTCGCCGCACTTGCGGCGCAGCTTCGCATGGTCGTCCTTGCCCGTTTCGACTGGATTCGGAGGCATGCGGTGGCTGGCGCCCTCGTTCGCGTCGCCGTCTCGGCAGCCGCTGCTTAAGGCAGGCGCGAGGTGCTTCTTCTCGTCACTCACGGCGGCCCTCTGGCCTCAGCGGTGGCGCGCGACGTCAGCTTGCCCGGGTCGACGTTGTTCAGAGGTTTTGCAATTTCGTGACGGGGGGCAGAGGTCATGCACATGTTGTTTCTGGAATGTTTTTTCTCAATCAAAGTGTGCCCCTCGACGCTCGCACTTTGTTTTTCGACCAGGAAAGTCTTGATGCTCAAACTGGGCCCCTGGCCCCCGGGTTACAACAACAACGGCTCCCGCCTGAGACTTCCTTACCATTTAGCCAGGACCCCCGCTCCCGCCCGAGACTCCCTCGCACTTTATTCAGGAATCGCGCTCTCGCTTGGGATTTCCTTACAATTCATGCAGGAATCGCTCTCCTGGCGCTCTGGAGTTGCGCTCTCGCTGGAGATTTGCTTGCAATTAGTTGAAGAATGGCCTTATGGCCTTGCGTTGGAATTTCTTGCAATTTGCCCAGGCGCCGCGCTCCCGACACCCAGGCACCCAGGAGTCGCGCCCGTTGTGGCCCCATGTGCATGCCCTTCGCGGCCCCGCTGTCGCCATTAGTGTCCCCCTCACTGTCCTACGTGGCCCAGTTGCTACCCTCAGTGGCCCCATAGTTGCCTTTTGTGGCCCCGCATTATCTGCACTTCGTGGCCCCCGCTCGTTCGCGCTCTTCGTGGCCCCATACGCATTCCCTTCGTGTCCCCGCTGTCGCCCTTCGTGGCCTACTTCGTGCCCTTCGTGGCCCTGCTGTCGTTCTCTCTCGCTCTCGCTTTCGCGTCGTCGCCGTCGTCGTCGTCGTCGTCGCCGTCGTCTTCGACGTCGTCGTCGTCGTCGTCGTCGTCGTCGTCGTCGTCGTGGTCGGTCCCCTGTCCGTCCCTCTTGGGGTCGGGTCGACGGTCCGCGGCCGCCCCGCCGATCAGCGCTGCCG